GCGATGGCCGGGAGAGGGGCGCGGTGGGACGATGGCGACGGCGATGCGCGGCCGCGACGGCGACGAGGGCGCGAGCGCGGGGGGTGGGGTGGGAGGGGTGGAGGGGGCTCGGGTGGAGACGCGGGCGTCGACGTCGAAGACGACGGCGAGACGGTTCGGCGAGAGGGTCGGCGAGCGGGTCGGAGGGACGACGCTCGCGGGGTTGGGGGCGGTGAGCGCGCTTGGGATCGATGTTCAAGGTCCGGCGTCGACGTTGACGGCGATCGGGGTGTTGGCGGTGATCATAACCGTGCACGAGTGCGGACACTTTTTCGCCGCGCGGGGGCAGGGGATACACGTGACGCAGTTCGCGGTGGGATTCGGACCGAATCTGTTCACCTATCGTGGGCCCGAGGTGGAGTATAGTCTGAAGGCGATTCCGCTCGGCGGGTTCGTCGCGTTTCCGGACGACGACGAGGACTGTCCGTATCCGGCGGATGACCCGGATTTGTTGCGCAACCGCCCGACGGGGGATCGCGCGTTGGTGGTGTCCGCGGGAATCATCGCCAACGTCTTGTTCGCGTTCGGGATTTTGTACAATCAAGTCACGACGATCGGACTCAGCGAGCAGAAGTTCGAACCGGGCGTCGTCGTGAAGGGTTTCACGGGTCAGTCGGTGGCGCAACAGGCGGGCATCGAAGCGGGCGATATCATTCTATCCGTGGACGGTGAACCTCTCGCGGCGACCGGCGGGTCCGTGGGTAAGCTGGTAAATGCGGTTAAAAAATCACCGAACGAACTCATGAAGTTTGAGCTCATGCACCTCGGAGCGGACGGCGCGCCTGAGGTGAAAATCGTCGAGGTGCGCCCGGGCTCGACCGCGGCCGGTGAAGGCAAGGTTGGCGTCAGACTCGAGGCCAACGCGAGCGTGAGCAAGCACATCGCCAGTAATCCCGTCGAAGCCGTCACGCTGACCGCTAAAGAGTTCTCCAGACTCACCGCCTTGGTCTGGAACAGCCTCTCTGGCTTGTTCACAAACTTTAACGAGCACAAGACAGAGGTGAGCGGACCCATCGCCATCGTCACCACTGGCGCCGAGGTCATGCGAAATGACATCAGCGGCCTCTACCAGTTCGCTGCCGTTATCAACATCAACCTCGCCATCGTCAACTTACTTCCCTTGCCGGCGCTGGATGGCGGTTTTTTACTTCTCATCGCCATCGAAGCCGCGCGAGGCGGAAAGAAGATTCCGAAGACGGTCGAGCAGAGCATCACGGGCGCCGGAGTACTCTTTCTATTCATCTCCGGCACGTCATTAATCTTTCGCGATGCCATCAACTTGATTCCTCGTTAGATTGTAATGGCCCGCGTGAGCGTGGTTTAAGGCGGCGCTCGCGCGCGTCTCGTCGCACGACAGTATTCGATTCGCTCGTAACGCAATGGCTGTTGTCGCATTAACACTCTCTACTAAAATAATTGTTCGCTATCACAATTCACCCCGACCTGAATCACAGGTAAATGTTCGCCACGCGGTCCTTGCGCTTCAACTCGCGAGAGTCCCGCATGTTGACCCCTTCCGCAATTTCGCGCTCGCGCTTGACAGTGTACAACTGCGCAACCTTCGTCTTCAAGATGCCAAAATGGTGCGGCTTGTACTCCTTGCGAGTGCTTTGACGCATGCGCAATTGGAACAACATCTTCTTGCACTTGACCACCTCCTCGATAATCGCCTCGTTGGACATGTCCTTGAAGTCCTTCACGCTCGTCGGCTTGAGCGCGGAGTACTCATCGGCGGCGGCATCGGCCTCGGCGCGAACGACCACGGAGGCACGCTTTTGCGTGCGCGTCGTCGGGGCAGAAACCTACGCGCGGGGTACAAATCAATCATCGGTCAGTCTCAAGGTTTCAGGGTTTCGCCTCGCTCCCTCGTCGCGATCTCCCCGCGCCGTCGACGCCCATCCCGGACGCCCACGGCGCGCGCGAGGGCGTGAACGGGAAGATAAAATACCCCTCCCCCCCCCCCGCGCGTCCACCCCCCCCCGACGCTCGCCTTCGCGTCGTCCCGACCGCGCCCTCGGCCGCCGACGTCGCCGCCCGACCCTTCGGCCGCGGACGTCGCCGCCCCCCCCCGCGCCCACCCCCCCCACTCCAACCCGCGCGACGCGATCGCGCGCGATATCTCCAAAGCCCCGCGCGCGCACCTTGAGCGCGTCGACGCGCACGGCGGCGACGGAGAGCGCGAACATCGTCCGCGTCGCGACGTCGCGCGCGCGTCGCCCGGCGCGCGCGGGGGTTTCATTTCTTTGCGTCCACCTCGCCGCACATCTGACGGATCTCCGTATGCACGCCCGATGAACCCCATATGCGCGTCACCCTCCCGGGACATCGATCGCGTCGCGCGCGGCGGTCGATGATGGGCGAACAGTCGGTGGACTACGGAAACCTAAACCCTCCACGCCGTCGACGGGCGCGCGACCGCGGGGGCGGGCCTAGGCGAACCCTCGATTCGCGCTCGGGCGCACACGTCGACGTCGCGCGCCCGTCGCTCGAGATGCTCTCCGCGACGTCTTCCATCGGTTACGGAACCACCGCGCGCGCGCGATCGCGCGCGGGCGTCCCGCGCGGGCGCGGGGGTCTTCACGTGTGCGCGAACGCCAAGGTGGATGCGTGCGATAAAAAGTCCATCATCGTGAGCCCGTCGATTCTGAGCGCGAACTTTGCAAAGCTCGGGGAAGAGATCGAGGCGATCGATAAGGCTGGCGCGGAGTGGGTGCACGTGGACGTCATGGACGGCCGATTCGTGCCGAACATCACGATCGGACCGCTCGTCGTCGATGCGATTCGCCCGGTGACGGATAAGGTGCTCGACTGCCACTTGATGATCGTCGAACCGGAGCTCCGCGTTGCGGACTTCGCGAAGGCGGGGGCGGATATCATCTCCGTTCACGCCGAAGGCGCGGCGACGATTCACTTGCACCGAACGATCAACCAGATCAAGGATCTTGGATGCAAGGCGGGCGTCGTCCTGAACCCGGGGACGCCGATTTCCGTCCTCGACTACATCATCGAAGAGGTCGACTTGATCCTCGTCATGTCCGTCAACCCGGGCTTCGGTGGTCAATCCTTCATCGAGTCTCAGGTTGAGAAGATCGCGAAGATCAAGGCAATGTGCGACGCCAAGGGTGTGAACCCGTGGATCGAGGTTGACGGAGGCGTCTCCCCGGCGAACGCGTACAAGGTCATCGAGGCGGGCGCGAACGCCCTCGTCGCCGGCTCTGCCGTGTTCAAGTCCGACGATTACGCCAAGGCGATCGCGGGTATTAAGGCCTCTAAGCGACCGGGTGCGTGAGCACGTTGCATCGCGCGAACGATCGATCGGCGCGTGTCCATCGACGCCGCGCTCGCGCACTCGATGTTGTCATTATTCATCACATTTTGCTAACCTTCACTCCGCACTCCTCGTCGTCCGTCCCACGCAAGGCATCGCGCGAGGCGATGCGCATCACCCGCACTCGCGCACTCGCCCGCGATGTCCTCGATCGCGTCGCGTCGTGCGCCTCGGTGTCCACACGAGCGCTCTCCTCGAGCGCGTCGTCCTCCGCCGGCATCGATTTCGATGTCGTCGTCGTCGGCGGTGGGCACGCCGGCGTCGAGGCCGCGGCCGCGGCATCACGAAGAGGCGCTCGCGTCGCTTTGGTCACCCCGAACCCGAACGGGACGATCGGGGAGATGAGCTGTAACCCCTCTGTCGGCGGCTTGGGCAAAGGGACGCTCGTGAGAGAGGTCGACGCGCTGGACGGATTGATGGGTCGGATCGCCGACGCGAGCGGGATCCAGTTCAGAGTGTTGAATTCGAGCAAAGGACCTGCGGTGCGAGGGGCGAGGGCGCAGATGGATCGCGAGCTATACAAGAAAGAGGCGCTGCGGTTGGTGAGCGGCATCGGCGGCTTGGAGGTCGTGGACGCGGCCGTCGTGGATCTCGATCTCGAGAGTTCGAACGAGGGCGGAGGGAGAGTGCGAGGGGTGATGTTGGACACCGGACGCGCGCTTCGCTCGAGGACGGTGGTGATCACGACGGGGACGTTTCTGAACGGCGTACTACACATCGGATCGAAACGCGTCGTGGCGGGGCGTTTAGCCAATGCAAGCACGGAGAATGCGGACGTTCAGGCGGGTAAGGCGGCGCATAGTCTAGCAAAGACGCTTTACGGCGTTGGATTCGATATGGGGCGGATGAAGACGGGAACGCCGCCGAGACTGGATGGGAACTCAATTGATTGGGCGGCTTGTCAGCCGCAACCTGGCGACGAGCTTCCGATCCCCTTCACCTTCACATCATCGAGCAGACGGGTCGGCGCCGAGCCTTGGAGACCAACGGCGCCGCAGATAATGTGTCATAGCACGTACACCACACCGGAGACGGAAAAATTCATCGCCGCGGCTCCGAAGTCCAAGTACGAGCTCGACATGGAGGGATCGCCAACGACACCGCGGTACTGCCCATCCATCGAGTCCAAAGTGAGAAGGTTCCCGGGACGAAATCATCGCGTCTGGCTCGAACCCGAAGGACTCAACACCAGCGTCGTGTACCCGAACGGGATCACGAATAACCTGGAGCCGGATTTGCAGGTGAAAATGGTGCGAACAATTCCTGGTTTAGAGAAAGTCGACATTTTGAAACCCGGTTACGGCGTGGAGTACGACTACGTTGACCCGCGAGAGCTGAAAATAAATCTGGAGACGAAAAAAGTTCGAGGCTTGTTCTTGGCGGGGCAAATCAACGGTACCACTGGATACGAAGAGGCAGCGGCGCAGGGTATCATAGCCGGCGCAAACGCTGCGAGTACGGATGGGGAAGAATTCATACTTCCTCGATACTCGAGCTATTTAGGAGTGCTCGTCGACGATTTGACGAGCAGAGGAACGAGCGAGCCGTATCGCATGTTCAGTTCGCGCGTGGAGTACAGGCTGAGCATTCGATCGGATAACGCGGATCTCCGTCTCACGGAACTCGGCGAGCGATTTGGTCTCGTCTCCGCCGAGCGCGCGCGCGCAGGTGCGCGACGAAGCGCTCTTGTGAAGCAAGCTAGCGAAGCACTGGACGCGATCTCCTTACTTCCGTCGCGCTGGCAGTCATATGCGCCCGATTTGCCGATAGCCAAGCACGGCAGACCTCTGAGCGCGTCAAACATGCTATCTCAACGTTGGGACATCGATGAGATCCTTCGTGCCGCGACGGACGCTCTTGGTGCGTCTGACGCACGTGTACAAGTACTACATGCCGTGAACGGTGAAGATCGTAGCGCATTCGAGTGTGCGGCAATCGAGGCGTATTACAGGCCGTATGTGGAACGCCAAGCGCAGGACATCGAAGATATCAGGAGGGAGGAAGAGCTCGTGATTCCCGACGCATTCGATTATTCCACGATCGATAATCTGTCCTTGGAGGACCGAGAGAAGCTTGAGGCCGTCCGTCCGACCACTTTCGCGCGGGCGAGTCGAATATCGGGCGTCACGCCTGCAGCGCTGCTATCGCTGTTTCGCGTGGTGACAAGGAAGAAACATAGAAATTAGCAATCTGTAACAACTAATCAGAGCGAGCGCACGCCAATAATTGATTCGACCTGTTGAAGCGCCGCGAGAGCTCGAGCGCGCGAGTCTGAATCGAGACCTCCTAACTCCTTGCGAATCTCGCCGAGTTCTCCTTGCACATACTCTACCTGCGCCCCAGATAATATTTTATCGAGCTTCTTCTCCGGCACGAACTGCGCCAATACGCCCTCATCACGCACGCCCGCATACTTCATCGCCGTCGTCATGTCCACCAACCCCTGTTTCGCCCCCACCGGCCTGCCATTCTCGAACAACATCAACGTCGGAAAGCCCGTGATGGCGTACGCGCTCGCGTAATCCGTGTACGTGTCCACGTTCATCCTCGCCACGCGCGTCTTGGATCCCGCCTGCTCGAGTTTACTCGGCAACTCCTCCCATATTGGTTCCAACCGCTTGCAGTACGGGCACCACGGCGCGTAGAACTCGATGAAGACCGGTCTAGTCGAGTTCGTCACCTCGCGCTCAAAGTTCTCGGGCGTGAGCTCCAACACGCTTTCCGTTCGCGCGCGAGCGTTCGATCCCGCGCTCATGAACGCGGTGACACCGATCACGCTCGCCGCGATCGCCTCGCGGCGCCGCGTCTCCCACGAGCGCGTTTCCTCGACATCGGACGCGCTGGACGTTTCGCTCGACGTCGAGCTCGGACGCGCTCGCGCGGAGACGGCGCCGCGCCGTGCTCGGGACGCGAGCGCAGATGACGAGCGAATCGTGGGCGTCGCTATCGACGCGCGCTGCGCGGTCGTCATCGCGCGCGTCGATAAGTGCCTCTACTCTCTACTACAAGCGCGGCTAGAGCGTTCTCAGCACCACGGTTTGTCCACGTAAAAGTCGGCGTCGTCCGGGAAGAGCGAGGGAAATTTCTCCATGAATCCCAAGAGTAGTGAGTGCATGGGGTGCTTCGAATCGATGTTGGCGTTGATCCACTTGGGATTGGCGCGATGACGATGCACCGGGACTCGCTCAGCGCACTTCGGCATGAATCGAATCGGCGTCTTCCCGCCAGTCGCTCGCGTTGCCTCGTGCAGTGCTGGTCTAGACTGCGGCCCAATGAGCGCCTTGGCGAGGTACTTTGCCGGTTGTGTTGTCGGGTGGGCGTTGTTGATGGAGACCACGGCTCCGCATGTTTTGTCGGCTCGGTACTTAGTCGCATGCGGCTCGTCGCCTCCGTGCGCATGCTCCTCGTGCGGGTTGAGAAGAATGTCGCGCGATTGAAATCCGACGATACCGTGCGAGAAGAACGCGAAACTCATCAAGTGCGTCGTCATCGACGAAAATCCCACGCACGGCGAGTCTCTAGACGCGTCGATCGGGAGTAACAACCCGAGAGTGGATGTATGGAACGCCTGAAGGTTGGGATCGTAAAAATTCGGTCCCACGATGTCGTGCCCGTGACGTCCACGAGGGTCGCCTCTCGCCCGCCCGGTGGCCCAACCTTTTGAGGACGGCGTGTACGCCACCATCGGTCGCTTGTTCATGAGCTCTCGTTCGAACGCCGCCATGTACTCCGTCGCATTTGGCTTCATCATTGCTGGTAAATCATCGTCGATGAAGACGTAATACTCGTATCCGTCGCTCCCATCCTCGCGCTCGAGCCCATGCCTCACCGCACGCTCCATCAACGCGTTCCTCCCCGTAGCCCAATTCGTCCCCGGAACGTGAAATCGAAACGGATCGCCCTTCTCGATCGAGTCGTCCGCCATGTACGCCAACTCGAACACGTCTCTCGCGTCGCTCGCCCACCGCTGATACTCCCCCGGCGCGTCCTTCCCTTGGATCAACCACGCGAACGATTTCACCGGTGCCGCCCCAAGGCGTTGGTTCACCGCTTTCGCGCCCGCGTTCGCGCCCGCGTTCACGCCCGTGAACGCGCTCACGACGCCCAACACCAAAGCGCACGACACCAACACCAACGCCACGCGCACGAACTCACGGCGCGTCTCACTTCGCTCCGATACCTCCGCCGCGTCGTCCCCGCGCGCGCGTAACAACGTCTCGCGCTCCGCCGCCTCCGTCATCGTCGACGTCGCCATCGTCGCGTCGCGCGCTCGCGTCGAACACCGCTCGCACGAGCAGAGGGAGCGAAAACAGAAAGAACAAAAGCAAAGAAAATAATATTACGATCGGTCGCCATTATCATACTATTCCCGAGTCTCTCCGTTTTAACGGGTCATGTCTCTTCGAGGCTGGACATTTTTCCCGAGTCTCTCGTACCTTGACGAGTCATACATCGTTAAAAACTCTTTACGTTCGTTTGGGTGAAAAATTAAAGGTGAAAATAAAAAACTGTAAAAAACGCGAGGCGTTTTTCACGATGTACGACTCATCAAGTTCCGAGAGACTCGAGAAAAATGTCCAGCCTCGAAGAGACGTGACCCGTTAAAACGGAGAGACCCGAAAACGTCCAAAAATGTTACACCTCGTCTAAAATGTCTCGCGCGCGCGTTGAAAATGTCACACCACGTGCGCGCGCGTCCGTCTCGACGGTCGACGGGACGACGGCACGGGCGCGCCCCATCGGTGTCGACCGTCACGTCTCGACGCGTTCGCGCGCGCGCGTTGCCTCGGTCGATCGGCGCGCGCATCGCGTCGTCGTCGATCGCGTCCTCGATCGGCGGCGCGCGTCGGGCGACGCGCGGCGCGCGCGCGCGTCCGGGGGACCGAATCGCGCGTGATAATTCTCGACACGCGGCGATGACGCGGATGACGACGATTCCGGCGAGTTCGTCGAGCGCGACGCGACGTGGGTCGATCGGTTCGACGCGAGGTGGACGTTTGGGATCGATGTCGACGCGGTGGGGGATGACGTCGAGTCGAGGAGCGAGGGCGGCGTCGATGGGGTCGAGCGGCGGCGGCGACGAGACGGCGGCGGCGGCGGCGGCGGCGGCGGCGGCGGCGAGCTACGTCCCGAAGACGGCGACTCGATCGTTGCGCGGAGTGGAGTGTCGAACCGAACTTGGGATGTCACTGGCGGAGACGTACGAGCTTCGAGGGAACGAGGCGTTCGAAGAGGCCTCGGGACGAGCGCTCAAGGGGTTGGTGGACGAGGGGTTCACGGCGGGCGAAGGGCTGGAGACGGACGAGTGCGACATGGACTGCGTCATCGGACGAACGGCGCTGACGAGGATGGAGGTGGAGGACATCATGTATCTCAAGGCGGCGCGCGTGGTGCTTGAGGCGGGAGGGGACGATAGCGAGAGCGCGAGCGAACGTCGTGGGCGGTTCCGCCTAGCGCATCGGTGTCAGCGATTGCAGAGTGTCCTCCCCAAGGGCTCGGACGAGTTCATGATCAACCTCGTTTTACGAGTACTTGAGAACGTTTCGAAGAACTCCAAACAAGTTGGATTGACGCACTCGGTGACGACGTCCACGCTGGCGGACGTTTATCTCAAGTGCGCGTCATTCGGGTACTTTTTGCAGGCGAGCCAACGAAGGTTCGAGCTCGAGCATGCGATGTCGGCGATGATGGAGTTCGTGCATCTCGATACTGTTGGGTACTCGGGCAAGATGCCACGATACCGCGTGCTCAGGAGCACTTTACAGGCGATGCAGGAGGAAACACCGAGCGGGAAGAAGAATAAACGCGTCTCGGGATACGAGGTACCCGTGCTGTTGCGTGTTCCGAATGGATTCCCGCTTCGAAATAATCTCATCACGCTGAAGCAGTACGTCGACGAGATGGGACCACAAGCGCGCGCGCACGCGGCACGCTTCGCCTCCGTCGAGGCGGCCGAGGTGCTGCAGTTGCATGTCTCGCTGCTCTTTGCGGGCGACAGAGACTGCGTTCTGACGAGCTTGGGTCAGTATCGTCGCAAACCGCACAGAAGCGTCGACGACGACACCACAGACGAACGCATCACTGTGCACGTAAATCAGCTTAAGCACATCGTGCTAGAGGCGTGCGCGTTCGGCGCTTCGTTAGCGAAAACCGAGCGCTCCATCGACGCTGAGACGGGGAGTTTAGAATCGAAACCTCTCTTGACGCGGATATAGGCTTTTTAATGTGCATCAATGTAAGCAGCAGGCGACTTTTATCACTTTTTCCCGTCTTATTCAAAAACACTATCCTATGCTACCACCGTCTCTCGCTCAACGACGCCCAATACCGGTCCTCGCTCCGCGCGGTTTGACCTCAGTTTCTTGCACAGCGTGCAAGTAAATATTGTTCGGCGTGTTAGAGAGTGGGTTATCGCCGCCCTTGCTCCAATCGTACGACACGGCGTAGGCGTAGATCGTCCCGTCACGGTTAAAGTTGCCGCACGAAATCGGCGCAGGGCACTTGTTCATGTTCTTCAGGCGCTGCTTGCTATCCTTGTCCCAGAAGTTATAATTTCCGTCTGCGCCAGCGGTAACGAAGGTTCCAAATGTCGGGTGGAAAGATATGGAGTTCACCGAGTAGATATCCTGCGTGCCTTCTCTGTGGCACTTGAACGTAAAGTTCTTACTTTGCAGGTTGTCCTCGACGTGTTGCACCGCGACGCGTCCCTCGATGGACCCGACGAGGTAGCCCGAGCGATCTGGGAACGTTGCCACGCACCGAGTCTGGTATTTAAGTGGTGACATGACGTTCTTGTACGCCACATCCGGTCTATTCAGATCGAAGATTTGAATCTGCCTTTCGGCGCATCCAACCACAAGGAGCGGATGCTTGACGTCGAGCGCGTAGCATCGCTCCGGAAGCTGCACCTTGAGCGCGGGATTTTGTTGTCGCGTGTCCCAATACCTCAGCGTGCGATCCCACGAACCGGTGACCAGGAGATTAACCTCCTGAATCCAAGCCATGTGTCTGATCGCGCTGTCGTGCGCCGCCACTTGCGTCGATTGCTGCGTCGCTAAATCCCACTTCTTGGCGATGTTATCACAGCCCCCGGCGAACACGCTCGCGCCGTCCGCTGACCACGCGCTGCACAACACCGGCGCCTCGTGTTTCGTCGACGCCTTTGGCATCGCCTGGCCATTTTGCGCCACCTCATAGCAGTACACCTGCAACGCGGTCACATTCGTCGTCGTCAGTCACCCACACTCTTCCCTCTAGCTCGCGTCTCGCCTCTCGCGTTCGAATCGTCCGACACGTACGTCGCCGTCCCACGCCGTGGCCACTAAAAAGTTCCCCACCGGCGACCACTCGAGCGAGGAGATCCCATCGCTCGGCGGGTTCGCAACCGTAAAGTCTCCGTTCGGGTTCGCCGGCGCCGTCGGCGCGCCCCACGACATCTCGCTCGCGAATCACGCGCGCGTGTCCGCGTTCGCCCGATCGAAGAATCCACGCGATGTCCTCCCCACGCGTCCTCTTCCTCTCGCTCACACCGCCGCGTCCGCGCGCGCGACCACCGCTCGGCGCGCGCGTCGATCGAGTCCGCCCCTCGCGCGCGCGCTCGGGCGCGACGACGTGCGGGACGACGGACGCGCGCGCGTCGCGGGGGACGTTCACAAACCCTTGGATTTCCCGCACACGCGTGCACCGCACCTCGGACGATCGCGACGACGCCGACGACGCCGACGCCGCCGACGACGGGACGACGCGACGCGCGCGCGGGACGACGACGACGACGACGATGTCGATGACGATGTCGATGCCGATGGCGATGCCGAGCGCGCGCGCGCGTGGACGAGGGAAGATCGCGCGAACGTCGACGCGGTCGACCGAGGGGACGTCCGACGCGCGCGCGGGTCGACGTGCGAGGGGTGACGCGATGGAGACGCGCGCGATGCGGCGAACGAGCGGTGGAGTTATTCTCGCCGTGAGCGCGCCGGCGAACGCGATCGATTTGCGCAAGGTGATCGAGGATTTGTGCGCGGGGGTGGATTTATCCGAGGAGCGGGCGTACGCGGCGATGGAGGCGTTATTGGACGCGGATCAGGCGCAGATCGCGGCGTTTTTGGTGCTGCTCCGAGCGAAGGGGGAGACAGCGGCGGAGATGGCGGGGTTGGCGAAGGCGATGCAGTCGAGAGCGGTGGAGGTGGACGCGGGCGACGAGGTGTTGGATATTGTTGGGACTGGGGGCGACGACGCGGGGACGGTGAACATCTCCACCGGGTCGTGCGTCCTCGCCGCCGCGGCCGGGGCCAAGGTGGCGAAGCATGGTTCGAGATCGGTGTCTTCGCTCTGCGGTTCGGGAGACGTGCTCGAGGCTTTGGGGGTGGAGATTGAGTTGGGTCCGGAGAGCATGAAGCGGTGCATCGACGAAGTCGGCATGGGCTTCATGTTTGCCCCGAGATACCACCCCGCCATGGCCAAGGTTTCTCCGGTGCGTAAGGCGCTCAAGGTGCGCACGGCTTTCAACATGCTCGGGCCGATGCTGAATCCGGCGCATAGCAAGTACGCGCTCGTCGGCGTCTACAGCACGGGCGTGCAGCAACTCATGGCGGATTCCTTGATGCGTCTAGGGATGAAGAAGGCGCTCGTCGTTCACTCCATGGGATTGGACGAGCTCACGCCGGCTGGCCCGGCGGACGTCGTCGAAGTCACCCCGAACGGCACGCGTTCGTACACCTTTGAGCCCAAGGATGTGGGCGTAAAGGCGTGTACGCTTGAGGATTTGCGAGGCGGCGACCCGCAAATGAACGCCAAGCTCTTGCGCGCCGCCCTGGAGGGTGAGAAGGGTCCGATCGCAGAGACGCTCATTCTTAACGCCGGCGTCGCCATGGCTGCCGCGCAACAAGCCAAGGACGTTACCGAGGGCATCGCCATGGCGCGAGAGGCCCATGAGAGCGGCAAGGCTGGCAAGACGCTTAACGCTTGGATCGCGCTCACTCAGGAGTTGAAGAAGAACGAGGCGTAAGGGACGATGGATGAAGTGTATTCGTTTGATTGTGATGCAATTTAAGCTTTTCATTTACACTTCTTTGCTAAAAAAGATTAAGCCCATTTCTCGAGGCAACGTCAATTCCTACTAAGTTTTGTCGCTCTCATTCCTTCACCTCCTTCGAGATTGCCCCCATGGCCGTCGGATCTTGAGACGGATACGCGACCTTCGCGCCGACGGCGGATGGCGCCGGCATCGGGATGGCCATGTGAGAGGGCAAGTCAGCGGGGTTGGTTCCATCCGCTGGCGGAGCGACGCCCGGCGCCATCATCATCACAGTCGGTGCCGGCGAAGGAGTAGGACCCTTATCGCCCGTCGACTTCTTCTCCATGACTTTACCCCATTGCAATCGACACTGCACGCCGTTGATCTCCAAATTGAACGCTGCGTCTTCCGCCGCTTTCTCCGCTCCGGCGCGCGACGTAAATGTGATGAACGCACACTTTTTGTTCCCGATCACGCGAATGCTCTTAATGTCGCCGTAGCGATAAAACCGTCCACGGATATCGTCCTCGTTAACTCTTTCTGGATCGACGTTTCCGATGAAGAGTGTGGTGATGCTCGTGTCCTCGGGCGGAGTAAGCTTTCTGTTCTCCATCTTCTCCTTGGCCCGCTTTAACATTTGATCCGCCACCGGATCGTTCGTCCCGAAGTATCTATCCTTGATGTTCTGCTTCCTCAATTCCGGCGCCGCACTGAGCTCGGGCATGTTTGTGTCCCCGTTACACGGGCGATACGGACAGTCGTTCCTCGTGCACGCGTTTCTCAGCCAAAACGTACAAATCGGCGACTTATTCTTGTTATAATACGGCTTCTTCCTCGCCAACCGCATCAACAGCTCGTTGTTCCGCTCCTTTTCCCCGTGTTCGTACGCATCCTCTCCCTCGTCTAACTTTTTCGCGATCGCGTTCACCGCGAAGTCCCTGTTCACCGAGCTCGACGGCAACGCGTTCCCGCCCGCGCGTCCCAGCGCCGCGTCCCGCGCCGCCACCGGAATCCCGTAATCCAGGTCCAACAGGCACACCTGGCACACGTTCTTCGCCAGCGCGATCTCTTTACACACCACCGTCTTCTTATACCGCGCATCGCTCCCCGGGCGCCAGCGATAGACGTCGAACGGCCGACCACTGATCGCGCACTCGCTCCCTCTCGGGATCTTCATCATCCGCACGTACGGGTTCGGTCCCAGGCAGTCCTCGCAGACGACGGGAAAGTCTTTCCCGGCGTCCTCGTCGTCGGGCGCCATCGCGCGAGCGAGGCGCGGGGTCGACGCGCGCGCGTGTGACGCGTCGTCACCGACGGCGCCCGGAATCGATGGTCGTCACCCATCGGGGGCACGTCGTCGTACATTGATTGATTTCGACCCATGTGCGTGCCGTCGAGCGTCCCCGAGCGCGTCGACGCGCGGTCGCGCTCCACCACGCGCGCGCGGGCGTCGCCGCACTCGCTCGCTCGCTCGCTCGCGCGTGGGCGGTCGTCCGCGCGCGCGGGCGCGAAGACGCGCGCGCGAGGGTGGGGCGACGGCGCGTGGGTGAAGGATGAATGATGGCGATGCGGTACCGGACGCGGAACGCGGGACGCTGGAGCGCGCGCGCGCGTGCGCGTACCTGAGCTCGGTCGTCCGAGCGTCGGAGGGGGTGGAGACGGCGCGCGCGCCGGGAGCGCTCGAGGCGCTGGAGATGATGGCGGAGCGCGCGGGATTGGACGCGCTCGCGAAGCTCGCGTCGGAGCGCGGTCGCGGAGGATGGACGAGTACAGATCGAGCGCCGGGAGACGCGTCGAAGTTGCTCCCGGAGGTGTCGATGAAAGACTTTGAGGGGTACCTGAGCGCGATGCGAGAGCGCTACGCCGGGTTCGTGGAAGATCGAGAGAGGAGCGCGCGGAGCGCCGAGGCGGGGAGCTCGGGCTGGAGTCCCGCGGGGACGGGGGGGAGCGAGCGCGGCGTCGAGAGCGTTCCGGCGCTCTTCTTCGACGAGATATTCGAGTTACACCAGCCGGAGACGTTCTCGCGCGCGTGCGTTGGGTTGGATGAGGTGAACATACGAAATTTAGCGCGCGCGGCGATGGAGACGCAGGAAGATTTCATAGCGCACTTGGACGCGGTGGAGGAGCATTTGATCCGCGAGATTGGCGAGAAGAGCGATGAATTCTTCACCGCGCTAAGTGACTTGCACCATCTTCACGAAGCGATGGCCGGCACGCAGCGTCAAGTAGCATCGATGCGGAAAAGCGTCAGGGACATCAGGGAACAGTTGGTCAAACCGGGACAGCTCATGCTGAGCTTGCGCGACAAGCGAGACAATCTCGAGACGTTGACGGAGACGTTCACGAAAGTCGCGGCGTTACAGCAAATGCGAACTGATATGGATGTTTTCGTGGAGAGCAGCGATTACTCTGGCGCGCTTCAACTCGCAGAAGACATTAAGAAGGCGCTCGCGGAGGACGAAGTGCTCGCCAAGTTGACGTGCTTCGGAACACTCCCAGAACACGTCGAGTACACCAGGAACAAGGTGCGGGAAGTGATGATAAGTGATTTCGTAGAAGGAGCAAGTCTTCCAAAGGACGCCAGGACCTTGGTTTCGGCTCGAACGCTCGACCGTTTGTCCGAAGTCGCAAAGACGTGCGGTATGGAGCCGCCGCAGAGCAATTCAAAGTTGACGCAGCAAAATATCGACGAGGAAATCAATAGTCTGGAGAAAATGATTCCTCCTTTCATCTCATTATTGTATTCTGGTAGTTCTTTCGTGTGTGAGGCGCTGCAGAGCTGGCTCACAGCGATCGTTGAAGACGTGAGGCTTGTTGAGCGCGTAGCGATACACATCATGCTCAGTACAATCACACAAGTTCGTCGACAAATCACGCCATCTACGGACGATACCGTCTTCGATTCCGTGCACGCGACTGTGATTCGAAGTCTTCCTGCAGAAGTTTTCGCTGAGCTTCTCCTTGGGTTGAAGGATATATTCAACTCGTACTTTGAACGAGCAAAGGAGGTGAGGGCAATGGTACGAGCTGTTATTACAAGCGACGAGGAGTCTCTAGCAGCGCTTCGGGGCATAGGCGAGGGTCTGATTTCGGCCGCGCGCGATGCTGCGGTTAATATCGATCACGCATCGTCTCAATCAGCTCTAGCGATCGCGAATGAGGCGCTGAGCAAGGTGATTGATATCGCGCAAGGACGTTTTGCGAAACTTCTTGGAGTGCGGGCACCCATGAACGTAGCCTCCTCATCGAGAGAATTCATGGCGATAACAGAGGCAACAAACGCGTTCTTGGAACTCGCCGAGACGGTAGGCAAACATCGCTGCCTGAGTTTGCGGACAACGCTGGTGAACCAGGGCAAATCTTTTGTTCGCGAGCAGCACTCGTTGTCAGCGTCAAAACTTATCTCGTTGCTCGAATGCGAAACGTGGGCGCGCGCAAAGCTGCCCGTACACTTGCAAGCTCTCGTTGACGCTCTGATGGAAGGCGCGATGACATTTCCGGACGTCAAAAGTGAGGATATTGGCGATGTCTCTTCTATCGTAGTTGGAGGTGAGCTCTTTCACCCGGTGAACAGTGCTGTGTTGCTGGTTCAGATTTTGGTCGACTACGTGCGCATGGCGCGTCAAAACCCCTCATTATCTACCGAGATGACGCATCGAACGATTGATCTGATCAAGCAGTATAACGCGGGCGTCTGTCAGCTCATTTTGGGCGCAGGCGCGATGCAAGTGTCCAAGCTGAAATCCATCACGGCGAAACATTTGTGTCTCGCGCAGCAGAGTGTGTCCTTATTCATATCGCTTCTTCCGAGATTGCAAGAGATCATGTGTGCACTCATCCAAGGGCCAAAGCTCGTACTTCTTCGTCAAGAGTTCGATCGCATGTTCAGGGATTTAAAGCTGCACAAGAGTGAAATTCACGACAAGCTCGTGAGCATCATGAGCGAACGCGTGGACTTCCACTTACATCGTTTATCTTTTGTTGTCAAATCACTGAGAGAAAGAAAGAGCAAGACGGTGGATCCGATAACGCCGTCCGAGTTCGCGACGGCTCTCACGAAAGAGATGGGGACGTTGAAACGGGTTATCAAAGAATTATTAAACGAAGCTGACCAGCGCGATGTCCTCGGTCGAGTGCGGCGGGAGTTGTGCGCCGCGATCGTTTCCAAGGTCAAATCCCTTGAAATAGCGGCGACCGATGACGCGACAATCGTGACGCAAATCAGTACAGATCTCGATGTGGTGAACGAGTCCATGGTGGAGCTTCCGGTGATCTCTGAAGACGAGAACGAGGACGCACTCGCGGCCCTCGCGTGCGACTTCCGAGCAAAGCGCGGGACGACAACGCCGGGGACCGCGGCACCAACGGTTCACGCTTCAGCGGAAGAGCAAACGAAAGAAAACGAAGAACACATCGCGCCCTCGAGCCCGAACGCCTCGAGCACGCACTAGCAACCTCTAGAAAACATGTCGTGTTAGTTCGCAAATTTGTCACCGTACGTTATTACAACTGTCTTCCCCTCCGAGTCCGTCTCAATTCCCATCCAGCGCCGCAATCTCTTCCCTCAATTCACGCCTGCGCGCCCGCGCCCCGAATCCCCACCCGTTCTCCTCCGCGAGCTCCCTCCGCAGCGCCTCCCGTCGCTCGCTCGTCCGCCGCGCCTCCACCCCGGGCGCAAGCGCGCTCGCCAGCCCCCCCGCCACCGCGCTCACCGCCCCCGCACCGAGAACGAACACCAGCCCACCCCCGAGCGCGGCGCCGATCAACCCGCTCACCGCTCGCACCACGCCGAGCTCTTCCATCGATTCGGCCTCGGCTCGGAGTTCCTCCTTCGACTTCTTTCGCGTCTTCTCCCCGTCGAACGCCGAGAGATTGAGCGCTCGCGTCGACCTCGGCGCCCGCGCGCGACATCGCAGCGCGCGCGCCGACGTCGAGGACGCGAGCGCGCGAAGCATGACGACGCGCGCGTCGGAATGGTGCGGCCGATGCGCGTCCAGACGAATGCGTGAGCGACTCGCCGCAGTGCGCGCCGCGGTGCGCGTCGCGCGTCGTCGTCGTCGAGGGTGATTTACGAGCGCGCCGTGATCGACGCCCGCCGTCCGCGCGCGACGCAGCGACGATGCGAGCGAGGGATTCAAAGCCCGAGCGAGCAACGACCTCGTCGAGGTCGAACGACGCCGCGAGCGCGCTGTCGCGGTCGCGAGGGACGCCGGCGCTCGCGCTCGCGGCGCTAGGGCTCGGAACCGTCGGCGTGCTGCTCGCGCGTCTGCGCGCGGGCGATCGAACGTCGGGCGAGGGGCTGGCGAAGGATGATTGCGTCGGGACGGCGAATGCGCTGGACGCGGCGGCGACGGGACGCGAGGACGAGGAGGTGGCGACGACGGCGACGGCGTCCGGGGTCGCCCAGGAGACGCGAGATGACGCATCTGTGAAGGATGCGCCGATGGTGGTGAAAGAAGCGACGACGGAGACAGCGACGACGAACGGGGAGACGTTCGCGGCGCCGAGGGCGCCTTCGCCGGCGACGGCGGTAAAGCCGAAGACGCGGAGTCGATCCGTATCATCCCTGCGCCCGGCGCTCAAACTTGAGGTCGAGAGCGGGCCAAGTCGAGGTGCGACGATGATTGCTTCGCTCGGCGTGGACGAGTTCAGCTTTGGTCGAGGACAGAAGAACAGGTTCGTCGTCGAGGGCGCCGAGGTATCAACGGTGCACGCCGAGGTTCGATGGGACGGGTCCTCGTGGATGATGCGAGACATGGGATCGCTCAACGGCACGCGCTTGAACGGTGCGACAATTTCCGTCGAGTCTCGAGTGCCGGGACCGTGGGAGAAGATCTCGCACGGCGACGTCATCAAGCTCGGCGAGCGCAGCGGAAGTCCGCACGTGTCGGTACACTTCTTCAGGGACGAATCCATCACCAAAGACTCGGCGCTGCATCTTCATCACGTCGTTCGAGCTGACGGATCGAAGGGTCCGAAATCAGAGGATAGAGTCTTGGTGGAATGCCCTCTTCGAGGGAATCCAGCCGTGGGAGTGTTCGCCGTGTTTGACGGGCACGGCGGCCACATGGCCTCAGAGCGCGCGCGGACGTTATTCCCAGAAGTCCTCGCGCGACGATTAGCCGGCAAAGTTCCTGGTCCAGAGGGCGTGCGAACGCTTCTAGAGGAAGCTTTTATAGAAAGCGATGAAACAATGGCGGTGGAGTACGAAGGATGTACGGCAAGCGTCGTTTTGGTATGGAGAGACACCAAAACAGGTGGCCTCATGCTTCAAGCTGCAAATGTGGGTGATTCAAGCGTCGCGATAGGATCGGCTCCGGCGCCGAGTGGGAAAACTCACGACGCGCATTATCTTACCCCAGAGCACAAAGTACGCCATGCAGAGGAAAAGGATCGTCTGAACAAGGCTGGCGCTGAATTACCGCCCGAGGCGACGCGCCTGTACGGTCTCGCCCTGTCTCGCGCTCTCGGAGACAAGTTCCTCAAAGATCAAAATGTCGGCCTCATCGCTCATCCCTTTGTCACCGAGGTGATTCACATCGAGCCGGAATCACGCGAGAAAGTTCTAACCATCGCGAGCGATGGCATATGGGACGTCATCAATCCAGCAGAAGTTTACGACGTGTTGCAGGAGGGCGACTCGTGCGCGCACACAGCTTTGCAAAGGTTAGTCGCGAGCGCACGTCGTCGCCGCAGCGTGGACGACATCAGCATCATTATGGTGCGCTTAGCGGATCGACCTTTTGACGATTAGAGAAATGCACTGTACTGGGACTCATTACAATATCCAAAATGTTTTATTGATGCTTCAATACGCCTTCTCGAAGGACGTCGATTGCCTGTTTCCAATCCGCGCTCCCGAACACGCTGCTGCCCGCGACGATGACGTTCGCCCCTGCCTCGGCCGCGACGTCAATCGTGGAAGCCGACAATCCACCGTCCACCTGAATCTTCAAATCTGGGAAGCGCTCGCGAAGCGTCTTTACCTTGGCGCAGCACTCTGGATTGAACTTTTGTCCTCCGAATCCCGGTTCCACCGTCATCACCAGCACCATGTCCACCGCACCTTCATCCACGAGCCCAAACACGACCTCCGCCTTCGTCGCCGGCTTGATCGCCACCCCGACGTGCATTCCGCTCGCTCGAATCTTTCGACACAGCTCCGCCGCCTCCCCCGCCGTCTTCGTCGTCTCCGCGTGATACGTGAACATGTTCGCCCCAGCCTTCGCCATCGGTTCGACGTAATCCTCCGGGTTCGTCACCATCAGGTGCACGTCGAAGTACGCGTCGGGGACGTGCGGTCGCAGAGCAGCGATCACGGGCGCGCCAAAGGTGAGATTGGGGACGAAGTGTCCATCCATGACGTCCAAGTGTAACCAATCGGCGCCGCACGCGATGACCTTCTTGGATTCATCGGCCATGCGGGCGAAATCGCAGCTCAGTAAGCTCGGGGAGATCACCGGTTGGTTTCGAGAAGGCATCGTCGGAACTCGTGAGGCGTGGTGAAGTGCGGAGGAAGACAACTGTTGCGCGTCGGTATTACCGGTCGTCCGCGCTAACGAAGCGCGCTGCTAGTGCGCACCTGGGCTAATCAATGCGTGCTAGGTGGCCGAGATCAGGCGACATCCAATCTCGGTCGGTCTAAGAAGCCTGGATCGCGTCGGAATTTTGCGGTAAACTTGTCGAACCAGCGCGTGAGGATGTTCACCGGGACCACCATGTGGTCCGCGGTGCTCTCGGGACCTTGAAAACTCTGCATAAAGTTGAAAAGATCCTCAGCGACGCGCTTGGCGAACGTCTCTTTATGTTGCACCATCGCCGCTTCCTTTTCCAGCGCCAAAGCTAAGGGTTCGACGGAGACACCGATCGCGGCGTTCGGGAAATCGCCGCCGTCCGCGCTCTTCGGCCAACGCAGGGCGAACACATCCGAGGGCTTGGCGTTCGCGACGCATCCGCAGTACTCCCACGCGCTGTCCCCGGCCTGGATATAAAAGCATAGCGCGCTGTTATCGTCCAAAACTGCGATCGATCGACGAAACCGCGCGTCAGTCTCTCTCGCTCGACGCTTTTTCGCTCGGCGTCCAACAACTTCCGCGTCGCTTCGCTCACGAGATCACCCGCGCCGAACGCTCGATCACGCACGTCCGGTCGACGTCAAGAAGAAACACGCGTCTCGACACTCGACGTGCGTCGCCGCCGTCGCCCCGCCCGACAAATCCAGCGCCCACGAGCGCTCGTCCACTCTTCGGAAACTCTCCGAAAGAACCACCGCGGATTTCTTCGCCAGCACCACACCGAACGCCATGACGCGTCCGCGCTCGCGTTCGCGTCGATCAACGACTCGTACGCGTCGCTATCTCACACCGCGCGCGTCGAGCGCGTCGACGCGCGTCGAGCGCGATGCGAACCGTCGAACCGCACTGTGACGTCATTCGAAGCGTCATTATCCACCGCCATGTCCCGCGTCGTCGCTCGCTCGACGCTCCGCTCCATCGCTCGCGCGAGTTCACGGAACGTTGAGATCCGCGCGCGTCGTCCGACGTCGTCGTTCCGTCGCGCGAGCACCCGAGCGAGCGCGGTGGAGGTGAACCCGTCGACGAAGTGGGAGTTTCGCTTGCTCTACGACGGCGGTTGTCCCCTGTGCGTGCGCGAGGTGGAGTTCTTGCGGGCGAAGGACGAGGGACGGGGGAAGCTCTCGCTCGTAGATTGCGCGAGCGAGGGGTACGACGCGAAAGAGAACGCGGGGATCGATTACGAGACGGCCATGGCGACGATTCACGGCTTGACGCCGGACGGGACGGTGTACACGGGCGTCGAAGTGTTTAAGCGGGCGTACGACGCGGTGGGGATCGGATACGTCTACGCGTTCACGAAAGTGCCGGCCTTGTTGCGAGCGGCGAACGCGGTGTACGATGTGTGGGCGAAGTATCGGTTGAACGTCACGGGAAGGGGGTCGCTCGAGGAACACCTGCGCGCGCGTCAAGCCGTCCTGGACGGTAAGGCGTGCGGCGTGCAGAGCGGTGCGTGCGAGGAATGAACGTCGTCGTGACTGCTCGTCAATGTGTAATTTAGATTGAATGAATGCGCATTTCTAAGCGCCCTCGGCGTTGGCAGCCTTCGCCGCGGCTTTCGCAGCCTTTTCCTCGGCTTTTTGCTTCTCCTTCATCATCTTCTTTAGTTGATTCTTAGAGATGGCGCCGCCGTCTTCTCCGGTTTGCGCTTTGAGCAGTCCCTTCTTCTGCTTGATTTCGATCGCAGGGGCGCCGATGGCGACGCCGGGCTTGGCGTTCGCGATCGTGGCTTCATCGAGCGCGCCCGCGACGTCGCCCATGTCGCCAAAGAGGGAGGCATACACGCGAGGACGCGTCGACATGAATTCATCGATCAACTCATCGGTTACCTTGGCCCGAGCCTCTTGATGTCCGACGCAGATGGGAGTGAGAACGTCGATTAACTTTGCCTTGATCTCCCCGCTCAGCATGCGACCGCTACTGTACTCTTCTCCAATCTTGGCCAACTCCTCGTCGTCGTCGAGGAAAAAGTTGAGCCACTTCCAGCTAATATCCGTGTCCAGATTACCCCCGAGTCGCCTGTGATCCTCCACCGTTTGTTGGCCACCACTGAACGCATACTTGTTCACCTTGCTCTTGATCTCTTTGGGCGTGTCGGTGACGTAGATAGCGCTCGTCGCGTCCGAGGCGCTCATCTTTCCATTCTCGCCCTTGAGCGCTGGGAAGAACCGAGACTCAATCAGAGCCGGCTTGTACCCGCCGATGCGCGGCGCGACGTCGCGTGTCATCCGGAAATACGGATCCTGATCGATCGCGCACGGAATCAAGCACCGCAAACTCGTCTTACTCTCGCCGAACATGTGCGGGAAGCAGTCTGGAAAGCTCGGCGCCGCTTGCGTCGGCGGAAATCCAACCTGCCCGATGTTCGACTCCCCCGTGAATCCAAAGATCCCCTTCACCTGATTCAGCGTCACGCACTTCGCGATCTTCATCATGTTCTTATACATCGGCGTCGACATGTACGAGACGTCCGAGAAAATAAACGTCCGCTTCGGATCGAACCCGCACGCGATGATGTCCTTCGCGTTCTCCCTCGCCAATCTCTCGCACTCCTCCAACTCCAAATCCTTCCACAAAAACTTCTCATCATCCGTCAACTGAATCACCAACGGAACCTTGAACGCGTCCTGCAACCACTTCGTGAAGTGAAACGGGATCAAGTGCCCCAAGTGCAGCGACTCGCTCGACGGCCCTCGCCCCGTGTACAGATAAAACCTCTCCCCCTTTTCGTACGCGTTCAGGATCACGTCCAGCTCGCGATGGGCAAAAAACTGCCCCCGCCGCAAGAACGGATGCGCCCGCGTCCCCGTCAATCGTTCGATGCGCTCGATCATCCCATTCTCGATCGTCGAGCATCCAAAGTCTCGCACGAGCTTGGCGTAATCGATCCCACCGCCGTCCGCGCCCTCGACGTCCCACGGCGTCACCGTCTGCTCGGTCGCGTCGTCATCCGTGGCCGAGGGCATGATCGGTCGTCGTCGCGCCGCGCGCGCGCGCCGTCGTGTCGCGCTCTGTCGTGTCGCGCGGTCGAGGTGTCGGTGGCGTTTCACGAGTCACGACCCCTCGAGGAGTCCCCTCGACCCGCCATCATCGCGCCATCGTCGCCCATCGCGTCGCGCCCCGCAGAGCCATGCGCGCGCTCGTCGGCGTCGTCGCCTCGACGGCGATGATGAAGACGGTGACGGTGTACATCGAGCGCGTGCGACGACACGCGCGGTTGAAGCGATTGGTGAAGACGACGCGCAAGGTGAGCGCGCACGACGAGGATGAAATCGCGCGCGTGGGCGATCTCGTGCGGCTGACGCCGTCGCGGCCGCTGAGTAAGACGAAGCGATGGGTGGTGGAGGCGGTGGTGCGAAAAGAGCGGGAGTTTGACTTGGACGCGGTGAACGCGGCGGTGCGGGAACGGGTGGGGGTGGAGAAGCGGGAACGGGCGGCGGCGAAGAGAGGGTTCGCGGCGAGCGGCGCGGACGAGAGCATAGGGTCGAGTAGGGCGAGATGAGGGCGCGAGAGAGGGGTAGAGCGTGTGATGTGTATCTAAAGTTTTTTCTAGCCAGCGCGTGCGTGGAGATTACAGTGAAGATTGATTGCGATTTAGGAGTCGTCGGCGCGGGACGCTCGAGCGAGGTATCCGACGACGTCGCGTCGTCTCGCCATACCCACGGGAAGGTACGCGACCACTCGAGTGCCGTTCTCGAGGAATTCCTCCGTTTCGATAAATCCCGATCGACGCATCTCGCCGATGAGGGCGCCGCGTTCGTAAGGGACTAAGAGCTCGCACCTGGTGAGCGCGCTTCGCATGATGATCGCCGAAACTTTTTCTTGGAGAGCGTCCAGGCCCTCGCCTGTGTGCGTGCTGATCAAAACCGCCCCAGCCGCTTCGGCCGCGATCTCGATCTCGAGCATTTTTTCCTCGTCGGTGACGAGATCGATCTTATTCCACACCAAGAGTTGGGGGATGTGACTGGCATCGAGCTCATCGAGCACGTTGTTCACCGCACTCATCTGTACCTCTGCGAGCTCACTCGAGATGTCAACGACGTGCAAGATGAGCGACGATTCAAGGACTTCTTCTAACGTCGCACGAAACGCGGCGACGAGTTGTGTGGGTAGTTTTTGAATGAAACCGACCGTATCCGTCATGAGCACGCTCATACCGTTCGGGAGGCCGAGTCGGCGCGTCGTCGGATCGAGCGTCGCGAAGAGCTTATCTTCGGCCAACACATCCGATTTCGTCAGCTTGTTCAAAAGAGTGCTCTTCCCGGCATTCGTGTACCCGGCCAACGAAACGATCGGGATCCTTTCCGCTTTTCGTTTCTGCCTGTACTGTTCGCGATGCGTTCGCACGCTCTCAATTTTCGCCGTCAAGAGTGATTTGCGTTCGCGCAGTAGACGCTTGTCGACCTCGAGCTGCTTCTCCCCCATACCCTTTACATTACCCTTACCGCCACCGACCTGTCTCTCCAAGTGACTCCACATTTTCGACAGACGAGGCATCTGATACTCGAGCTGCGCCAGTTCCACCTGCAGCTGACCCTCGGCGGTTTGCGCCCGCTGTGAAAAAATATCTAGAATGAGCGCCGTCCGATCGCACACGCGTACCTTGTCCCCGAGCCTGCGCTCTAAATTCCTCGCTTGCTTGGGCGACAGCTCGTCGTCGAATATCACCATGTCCACGCTCGCGGCGTCGATGTTGTACCCGTTGCGTCGATCCTGCCTTCGCTCCGGCTCTGGATCCTCATAATCATCCTCGTCCCCCCAATCCATGTCCTCGTCCTCATCATCCCACTCCTCCTCATCGTCCTCCTCCGCCTCATCCTCCAACGCGCGCGGTAACCCACAGAGCTCACGCAGTTCGCCGATTTTCCCTCGTCCCAGGTACGTCGCCGGCACCGCCCCGCGCGCCAGCCGCTGGGTCATCCGACCCACCACCGCGCACCCCGCCGTCGCCGCCAACCGCTCGAGCTCATCCAACGAATCCTCCAACTCGAATTCACCTCTCATCGTCATCCGTCCATCCTTCGCGCCGACGCCGCACACGACGACGCGCTCGGGTTCGTGCGCCCACCCCCACATGTCTTCCCGAATCCGCGCGTCCCTCGCCCGCGTCCTCAGCGCGTCGTCACCGCGCTCGATCGCCGTCCCGTGCGCGCGCTCGATGATTTCTTCCCACGTCATCGTCTCCAGCGCCCCGTCGTCGACGTCGACGCGCGGTAACGCGTCGACGTCGACGATGAGTCGTTCGAACGCGTCGTCCAGCGCGCCGTCGCTCGGCGCCCGCGCCCGCGCCCGCG